CTTTCTATATCTTAATCTTGTGTATTATTGAGGGATTAGTGTTGTAATTAATGTTTTGACACTTTTACATATATAGATCTCGTTTATTCAATGATTTATGTGGTTTAATGCTTCCAATTGATCATTTCATTCTATCCATATGTCTATGTATGCTAGAATGGATGTTCATGTGCTTGTCTCTAGATTTTGTGATATTGATGTATGTCTATGTGTATTGATGCTATAGATTTGGAGATTGTTAAAACATAGTGCTTAAAGGAATGCTCTTGTGATTACCTTGATGGTTCATACTTGTTCCTTGATGGATTGTGCCTCTCCCCTAGTTTATTTTCATGCTAATAGTGTAGATGTAGTGTAGTGTTAAATGGGAGGATAATCCATGCTTGTTAATTGATGATCCAAGCTTTTGAATGCAAATAGCATATGTCTCTAACCTTGTGTTATATTTGGATTGTGAGCTTAATGAAATGATTAATGACTTGTTTTGATCTATTGTGTCATTCACATGTTGTTTAGACAATATATACTTCATTGCTTAGATATATTGTGCCTTTCACATGATGTTTAGACAATACATGCTTAACTAGTCATCCTTACTTGTTGAATCAACCGAACACATACACACACCAATATTGCAACACACCATTTGCCCTCATTAGTCACTTGTCAATGGTATAGAAATGCATTGCTTGGTAATGATCTCTAAACCCCAAGATCTCTTTCTCCTACTTACTCTTAATTGCATTATTTTGTTATTACTTAATTCAATTTAGTTGCTCTCTAATCAACCAACCCACCAATTGTTTGATCACTCGACCTACTAGCCCTAATAGTGATTCCATGACCTTGTCCGACCCTCACAATCCCTTGGGACGATCCGTACTTGCCCTAGCTATATTTATAGTGAAAGGTAGTAGTGGCTTCAATAAATGTAAAACTCTTGGCCCTCGCTTTAAATTTCACACTCTTTAAGCTTATGGTAGGACGACGACCGTCAGCATACTAGGGATGGATTAGTTCAAATACTAAGTCCTACCTAAAATGGATTAAGGTGTAGATTAACCATAAAGGTTAAGTCCAACTCCTATTGGTGTCAGGTCAATAAATAACTGAATGACATAATTTGGTATTTTGGGATGGATTGTTATACATATATCAAACCACTATACAAGATGGGTGATATTTTATATTAGAATGACACGGACTTTATATATATATGATATGGTACCATGGTATGAGCTTGAGTCTCAGGACTATGGTTAGGGTGCGTATATCACCTAGGATGGATAGCTGGATAGTAGTTGTTGTTCCCTGGTAGGTCTAGGTACATATGACCACATTATGTGCGATTTGCATAGTATCTCTACTCAGGCTGAGACAGACTTATTGAACTAGTGAGCGTCCTATAGTGTGTACTTATACATATATGGACTACTCTAGATATTATTAAGTCTATCTAGGATGTATCTGCGTATCTGAGGATACCAAAACGACCCGGGTTTAGAGTGATCCACATTGCATAGGATGGGTCGGATGTGGACGAACAGGATGAAGCCAGTTCGCGCCGTATGGGCCCAGGTCCATAAAGCCATTTCAGAAGCCCATGATAAAATGAGAGAAATCGAGTCTAGTCAAAGGAGAACAAGATAAGATCAGCTCAGTGGAGGTTGTAACCGTCTATAAATAGAAGGGATTAAGAGGGAAAAGTGGTTAGAAAAATCATTGAGAGTGTAAAGTTTCTCTCTCTACAATTGGGGAAAAATTCTTTGTACTTTCAATTGGCGCCGTCTGTGGGAAGAACAGGAAGGATTGATTGATGTCATTCCAGATCGGATCGATTCAATGCATTCTGCGAGGAAGACAATTAATCTGCGAAAGCTGAATCAACATTGGTGATAATACGATCTATCTTGACGAGTCTAGGCTCCGGTTAATTTCAGAAAATTGGCGTCCGATCCAAGCAGATCAGATCCGTGCTTGATCCGGCGAGCTGCGCAATTGCGATCTGTTGTGATTACTGAATCCGGCCAGTAATGGACTGAATTCAGCAAGTGTAAGTTCAGATCTGGTGTGCGCGCATTAGCGGAGCTCCGATTTGGTCAAGAAGTCTGCAGTTGATGACTTTGCTCCGATCTGGAATGATGATCAGAGAGGCGAACTCGAATCCTTTGGAGAATGGCCAGTAGACAAGGCTCGATGAGCTGATGAACATGATCGATGCTTTGAGGAAAGAAAATGCAGAGCTACGAGCTGGAATGGAGCATCGTGAGGCTCTTGCAATTCCGAGGCCACCTCCTGAAGGAGAGAGAGCTTTACCGTCCGAAGCTGATCGTCAAGGTGATCCAGAAGATGTCAATCGTGGTGGTCTACGACGTGATGAAGATATAATCAGTAATCTGCCTCCGAATGTTGGCCGAGTAGAGGATCAAGAAGGATCTGTTCGTCTGGAACCGCATCACAAACGGATTATGAGGGAGGAAGCACCGGCGTATGAACATCGGATTGCGTCACCATGGCGGAGTGAATTTGAGGAGGATAGGTTGTTCGATCCGCCATACCGACCTTCATTAGCGACAGTTGATTACAATAGCTCGGAAAGGAGATCTGCCGATCGAGGATTTCCGTCACGGTTTTCAATAGAAAACGAAGCATTGCGTTCCTCAGCAAGGACGGTCGCATCGCCGTTCACTGATGAAATTCTGAACGTGCCGAATTCGAAGAAGTTTTCCATGCCGATCTTCATTCTGTTTGACGGAACAACCGATCCGGTCGATCACATATACCATATTCAGTTGAAAATGGCTTTGAATACTAATAATGATCCTTTGATGTGCAAGTGTTTCCCTACGAGCTTGGCTGGACCAGCTCTCAATTGGTTCAAGAATCTGGCTCAAGGCTCAATCGCCAGTTTCCAGGACTTATGCGATAAGTTCATAAGCCAGTATTATGGGAATAAGCGTCCGGCTAAGGATGTATCGAGCCTTTTTACAATGAAGCAGCATGAGGATGAGCGGCTCCAAGCTTTTCTCACCCGGTTCAACCTCGTTAAAAGCATGGTAATGGAGTGTCACCTGTCAACAGCAGTCCAAGCATTTAAACTCGCAATGAACCGAGGGACGTCGTTCCACACCAGCTTGGTGGTTAATACGCCAAAGACAATGGACGAGCTAAACGAGAAAGCTGACGGTTTTGTTCGCCTCGAGGAGGAAGAAGCAGCTAATTCAAGGAAGACGTCAATTATTTCGACGGAGGAGAAGTCCAAAGCCAAGATCCGGCAAAAACAAGCTCAACCGCAACGTCACCCCTTATGGAAGGCGGAGAAGAGGCCCAGGGAGGAGGAATCAGTCACTCCACTCAGAGTCACTTTAGCAAGGCTATACCAGGAGAACAAAGATAAGTTTCGTCCTCCTCTGTCAATCAGGCAACCTCTTGAACAGAGGGATCAGACTAAACATTGTGCTTTCCATAGTGATTTTGGGCATCAGACTAACGAATGCAGGAACCTAAGAAGGCAGGTAGAGATGCTGATCACAAAGGGGGAGTTTGCAAGCTATGTTCAGGGTCCGGCGCAAGAGCATAACCGTCCGACTGAACAAATCAAGCGGAACCAGAGGCCGAACCAACACAACTCCCAACCCGTCCGGATTATAAACGCAATTCATGGCCGGCCTGAACAAATGACGGAGTCAGAGGAGTTACTCAGGACGAGGTTACGCCAGGCCCAGCTGAAAAGAAGAATTGGCAGTGTGCATGCTTTGCACCAGCAGAACGCGTCCACATCGATAAAGTTTGATAAAACGGACCTGCTACGCGTTCAGATTCCTCATGAAGATCCACTAGTCGTCAGTCTGACGATTGCAGAATGCCTGGTTCGGAGAGTCCTGATTGATCCAAGAAGTAGTGCGAATGTCATGCCCAGGGTGACGTTCGACCGACTGGAGATCGAACCCGAAAAACTCAAACCCATAGGGAATCCGTTGCTCGGATTTTACGGGAAGCGAGTGGAACCCATTGGAATAGTGGAATTGACAGTACAAGCCGCTGAGCGGGTTTTGAATAAAAGTTTCGTGGTAGTGGAAATTTATCTATCATACAACCTCCTGATGGGCAGAGGATGGATTCACAGAATTCAGGGCGTTCCGTCAACCTTACATCAAGTGATGCGATGTTTGGGTCCGGATGGGACCAAGGTGATAGATATACACGGGGACCAGGTTGCGGCTAAAGAATGTTATTTAGTAACTTTGAAATCTGCTGGAAAAGGAAAAAATCCCATCCGTTCAGCCAGTCCAAAATAGCAATTACAGAACCCTCCTCCCAGCAAGGATGGGGGGGAGGAGCTACCAGTTCTGACCACAGAACCCCTTCATGAAGTGAAGATTAATGATAAGAAACCAGACCGAACAATAAGGGTGGGAACCAGACTCACTGAAGAAGAGAGACTAGAGTTGACTAATTTCTTGATTCGGAATGCGGATGTATTCGCATGGAGCCATTCAGATATGCCAGGGATAAATCTTGCTGTATCCTGCCATTCCCTCAATGTGGATCCGAATGCAAAGCCAGTGAAGTAGAAGCAAAGAAGATTTGCTCCAGAACGAAATCAGATTATAGCTGAGGAGGTTGATCGGCTGCTTGAAGTCGGATTCATCAAAGAAGTTCAGTACCCGGCCTGGCTCTCTAACGTCGTTGTAGTGCAGAAGAAGAATGGGAAATGGAGAGTGTGCATCGACTTCACTAACCTAAATAAAGCCTGCCCAAAGGATAGTTTCCCATTACCCAGGATTGATCAAATGGTAGATGCCACCACAGGATATGAGCGGTTAACTTTCCTGGATGCTTATTCTGGTTATAATCAAATTCCTATGGACCCAGTTGATGAAGAGAAAACTTCATTTGTTACTGAACGAGGGACTTATTACTATAAAGTCATGCCATTCGGATTAAAAAACGCTGGAGCTACTTATTAGAGGCTGATCAGCAAGATTTTTAAGTGCCAAATGGGCAGCACTGTCAAGGCTTATATTGATGATATGGTGGTCAAGAGTAAGAAGAAGAGCGATCATTTAGCGCACCTGCAAGATGTGTTCGATGTGTTACGCCAGTATGGAATGAAGCTTAATCCGGCCAAATGCTCATTCGGTGTAAGCTCCGGTCAGTTCCTGGGACATGTGGTCAATCATAGAGGAATTGAAGTCAGCCCAGCACAGGCAGAAGCCTTGGTCAGGAATGCAGAGCCAAAGACAATTAAAGAGGTGCAGGCACTCACAGGACGGATAGCCGCACTGAGCCGATTTATTTCCAAGCTTTCAGACCGCTGTAAACCTTTCTTTGATACAATACGAGGGCATGGAAGACAAACCTGGGGGGATGAGCAACGGCAGGCGCTAACCAGCCTGAAGGAGTACATGCGTAATCCTCCGGTTCTGTCTGCTCCAGAACCGAATAAGAAACTCTTTCTATATCTCGGGATATCCAGTATAGTAACCAGTGCCGTTCTGATCCGTTGCAAAGAGGGCAAGCAGTTCCCGGTGTTTTATGTTAGCAAGACGATGTCTGAACCGGAGAGAAGGTACTCTAGGGCCGAACGAATGATCTTGTCGCTGGTCAACGCAAAAAGGAAGCTTAGACACTATTTTGAATCTCATCCAATCGTCGTTTTAACAACTTTCCCTTTGAGAATGATCCTGCACAAACCGGACCTGTCGGGGAGAATGACTAAGTGGGCCATTGAATTGAGTTCATTCAATATCACGTACGAGCCCAAGACGGCAATCAAAGGTCAAGCGGTGGCGGATTTCCTACTTGATTGTGATGCTGAAGGTGCGGTGGAGGATTGTAATTGTTCCTGGTGGAAGCTTTTCGTGGACGGCTCCTCGAATCAAATGGGGGCCGGAATTGGAATTCAATTACAAACACCAGAAGGAACTACGCTGAGCCAAGTGATAAGACTAGAGTTCAGCGCGACCAACAATGAGGCAGAATACGAGGCGTTGATAGCTGGACTGAAGTTGGCTAAAGAATTGAAGATCAAGAATCTGATGGCTTATAGTGATTCACAACTAGTCATTCGACAAGTCAATAGGGACTACGGGGCCAAGGATGAGACTATGGAAGCATACCGAACTGCGGTTCTGAGTGAGGCGAAAGCCTTTGATCAGATCAGGTTTATCCAATTGCCGAGAGAGTATAACGAAGATGCCGACCACTTGGCTTGTAGTGCATCCAGTTCTGGAGATACTTTAGCTAGGGTCATCCCGGTCGACATACTGATCCAGCCTTCCATTTTTGAAGAACTGCCTAATCCGAGCACTCAACATGTTAATGTTATACCATATGAGCCGAGCTGGATTGATCCAATCATGGCTTACATACGTAGTGGTACACTCCCCGAGCGTAAGGACGAAGCAAGAAGAATTAGGTCCAGCGCAGCAAAGTATGCCATTGTGCATGATCAGTTATATAGACGCTCCTTCTCGGGTCCATATTTGAAGTGTGCTACCCCTACAGAAGCAAGACAGATTATGCGAACCATTCATGAAGGAGTATGCGGAAATCACTCCGGAGGAAGATCTTTAGCACACAAAGCAATGACACAGGGGTACTTCTGGCCAAACATAGCACGAGATGCAGAAGAATTCTCTAGAAGATGCGATAAATGCCAGAGGTTCGGGTCATTGATACATCAACCACTTGAAGACCTGCACGTAATGGCCACCCCATGGCCTTTCGCGCAGTGGGGGATGGACGTGGTTGGCCCTTTGCCGACTGCAAGATCGCAGAATAAGTACGTTCTGCTAGCTACTGATTACTTCACCAAATGGGTAGAAACAGAGCCGTACCCTAGTGTCACCCAAACTTAAGTAAGATGCTTCATCTGGAATAATATTATCTGTCGATTTGGCATACCAAGGTCAATCGTGATGGACAATGGAACCAACCTCGATAGCAAGCAAGTGAGAGAGCTGCTGGAGGAATATGGAATCAATCAGAAGTTAGCAGCAGTCAGTCATCCTCAGGCTAATGGTCAAGCCGAAATCACAAACAGGACAATATTTGCTTGTATCAAGAAAAAGCTGGAGAATGAAAAAGGCAAATGGTTGGATGAGTTACCAAACGTCTTGTAGGCTTACAGAACAACCCCAAGACGGCCAACTGGAGAAAGCCCATTCGCTATGGCCTATGGCACCGAGGCGGTGATACCAGTCGAGCATTTTGTTCCAACTGTAAGGAGCTTAGCGTGGGATCAAGAGCAGAATGATAGAATGCTAAGGTTCAATCTTGATTTATTGGAAGAAAAAAGGGATGCGGCTGTAGTGAGGCTCGCCTCTTATCAACAGACGCTCGTGAATAGCCATAACAAGAAGGTGAGGCACAGGGGTTTCGCTCCTGGCGATCTGGTTCTGAAAAGGAAGGTGGGAATAGTCAAAAAGATGTTCTCCCCATGGGAAGGTCCGTACAGAATAGCAGAAGTCATAGGGAAGGGGGCATACATCCTAGAAACTATGACAGGAAGGGTAGTCAATAAGCCATGGAATGCTATGTCACTGAAAAGGTACTACCAGTAAAAAGTAGAGTTTAATTTCAAGCATATTGTACGTTTTAAATTGCATGCTTGCAAGTGTATGAAATTTCCATGCTTTATAAAAAGCCTCTTCTTTGTTAAAAATCTACGCTCTTCCCATTCAGCAAATTAATGGCAGCTGGCACTTCAAGCCGAACGCCAAACACTTGCTAAAAAATAAAAAAGCCAAGTGGCAAGAGGCGGTCAAGCCGAGCGCCAGGCATTCAGTAAATTAGTGGCAGCTGGCACTTCAAGCCGAACGCCAAACACTTGCTAAAAAATAAAAAATAAAAAGCCAAGTGGCAAGAGGCGTTCAAGCTGAGCGCCAGGCATTCAGCAAATTAGTGGCAGCTGGCACTTCAAGCCGAACGCCAAACACTTGCTAAAAAATAAAAAAGCCAAGTGGCAAGAGGCGTTCAAGCCGAGCGCCAGGCATTCAGCAAATTAGTGGCAGCTGGCACTTCAAGCCGAATGCCAAACACTTGCTAAAAAATAAAAAAGCTAAGTGGCAAGAGGCGTTCAAACCGAGCGCCAGGCATTCAGCAAATTAGTGGCAGCTGGCACTTCAAGCCGAATGCCAAACACTTGCTCACAAATGAGTAAGAAAAGGACAGAATGGTGACACGGCCGAACGATAAGCACTTGTGAAAATGCACTACAAAGCTGAAAATAGAAAACTCAAAGGAAGAAAGGGATGCTGAGTAAAAACATTATCATTCATAACCAAAAAGGTCTCAAGGTACGTAGTACCATACATAAAATAAAAAAAAATTTGCTGCTATTGGATATCAGTTCTAATCTTCTCCAGGCTGTGACTTGTCATTCTCGCCACCATCTTCCTCTGGACCATCGAGATCTCCATCTGCCCTATCATCCTTAGAAGGGGAGTCGAGATGAATCACCCCCTCAGCAGGCATAGGTCTTTCGGCAGCGACAGAGGAAGAGGGCACGATGGTAGAAAGGGGAAGAATGTTCAGAGGATGAAAGGGTGGGACAATTCCTGAAGATGTGACCTCTATGCATTCAATAAAAATGTTCTCGGCTGGGTCGCATAGTGGATTTTGATAGTTGTTTAGGGGGTGGATGTCCAGAGAAGCGTCTAGTTCATCAGGACCAGCACAAGAGCTTGATTCACCTTCAGGGGGAGAACGGTCAACAAAACCATCTCTGTACCCTTCAGCATACCGGATGGCATTGGTCCTGGTAAGGCAAGCAAGGAGAGCCCTCATCCCCCCTTCGACTCTGCTGATCATGTTCATCAGGGAAGACTGTTCGTTTAGAAGTTTTTCTTGGGAATTCGCATACGATAACCGTTCAGCAATGAATGAGCGCTGAAGGTCTCCCTTTTCGGCTTTGAGAGAGTCCCTTTTTGTCAGAGCTACACTCTTCTCAGTTTTTAAGACGTCAACCTTATCATGAAGAGAATCCCGTTCGGTCTTCAGGGAATCCCGTTCAGCTCTGAGGGAATCCCTCTCGTTTGCCAGACCGTTTTTCTCTGCCCTTAGGTCAGCAACTTCCTTTTTTGAGTCCCTAAGCTTTGACTCCAGCTCAGCAACTCTGGCCTCAAGAAGTGTCTCTGCTTTAACAGACCTTTTAAGGCCCACAGAGAGAGACTTAAGTTTTTTATTCAGAGTTTCAACTGTTTTCTGAAAGGTGAACATCCCGAACAGAGTCTGCATAAAGAAAAAGAAATTCAGGTCAGACTAAGTACAAAGGAATCATAACTGAAAAGGAACACAGTTCAGTGGAAGAAGGGTCACCTCCATAGCAGCGGCTGGGAACCGTTGGAACATCTCACCAAAGGATAGTTTGTTCTGGATTTCAAGGTCTTTGGGGGTCCAGAAGCCCTTATAGAAAGCAAACGAGGTGAGGGGGTCTTTATATATTGAGTCAGTGGGGCCAATGGTTGATCCATCTTCGCGGCTGAGCAAAGGTCGCCATGGAAGAACGGATGGAATTGGACCAGAGGTCCTGGCCGACTCGCCTTCAGGAATGAAGAACCGGGCAGGGGGCGATGGTTCAGTAACCCTGAAGGAAGCCATCCTTATCCTTCGGGTCGGTGGGATATCACTCTGATCGTGACCGCCCTCAGGCATTGGCCTTTTTCCCAAACTCTTTTCCAACAGAGCAGCATTAGCTGGCCCCCCATTGTCCTCAGAATTTCCAGCATCCTGAGTGCTTTCTGAAGAAGTGTCGGATGAAATTTTTGATGGCATAACTACGGGGACAGCAGGACGGACTTCAGCAGTATGGCCCACAACAGAGTTCTTAGCATGGGTGAGCCCTAAGGGCGCATCAGCAGAACGGGTTGAGACTTGAGTCGCAGCTGGGGCAACCGTAACTTGCTCTGGGGCAGAGATGGCAGGAAGAGATGATGTGGAAGCAGGTGTAGGTGATGGAGTAACGGCAGGAGCGTTAGAAGGGGTGGGAGCAAGATGCCTCCTCCTGCTGAATGATGGGATCTGGATGTTCTCCATTGTGGACCCTAAAAGAGAGATGTCAGAAAGATTATCAGATGTAAGCAAATCAGTAGCTAAAGGGACATCGTTCAGCACGTTTTCTTGTAAGGTATCTAGCCTAGCCCTGCAGACGCTATAAACTAGTTCATCATGGGGAATTTAAAGGCATCTATAAAGAAAAGTGCAAAAACGGGGAAGACAACTTTCACAGTGGGATTCAGAGGGATATGTTTTTAGCTTTTTGTAGCCAGAGACAGAACAGGCTCCAAAGGAAGAAGGGATAGGGAAGGAGTGGCCGAGCGGAGTTTGCCAATTCCCACCAACCACAATTAAATTCCATCTCCAACCCTTTTCAAATGAGCTTTTATCAGTGCAGATCGACCGTTTGTCAATAGGAAAGAAGTGATAGTACAAGTCGTTTTGTGAAATCTTGTTAATCCGATAGCAGAAGAGAAGGTCAATAATGTCAAGATTGAGACCCCTGTCACGATTCAAGAGCAGGAGGACTGAAATTACCCTAAGAAAGTTTGGGTTAACTTGCAGGGGGCAGAGCCCCAATTTGTTGAAAGCATAACAAAAGAATGGGTGTACGAGGAACCTAATGACGTTTAAGTGAACGGCAGAGAACAAAACTTCCCCAGGAAGAAGACCCTCACCAGATTTGGGTAGACTCTGAGAGAAACATCGCGAGGGATACAATTCTTGGACCGAATAGTGTTCAGGTTGGGGGAAGCCATGAAAAAGGGGAAGAGTTCTAGGCAGTAAAGGCGTCTTTTAAGGAGAGGTTTTTTTTTTTTAAAAAAGAAACTAACCTTGAAATTTTGTGATGAACTCAGCAACGGCACAGTAGCTAAAAGTCGAAAAGGAAGGACTTGTCGGAAGAACTTGCCGGAGAAACTAAAAAGGATCGCCGGAATGTGCATGAAAGCAACAGGGAGTAGAAGCAAGAGGTAAGAGAGAGGGTGAAGGAGAGAAAGATCAGAATTTATAACGAGGAGAAGTAAAAGTGACATGGAACTCCAAAGGTCAAGGCAAAAAGTGGCGCTGCAGATCTCGAAACCTGGGTTCTTGTGCCAGCCGTTCGATTCTTCGAGTTATTGCTCCAAGCCGTCAGACCAAGATCGTGTCCTTTCAATAATCTCACCCTCATTAATGAGGAAAGAGATTATTGGGGGCAGATGAGGATACCAAAACGACCCGGGTTTAGAGTGATCCACATTGCATAGGATGGGTAGGATGTGGACGAACAGGATGAAGCCAGTTCGCGCCGTATGGGCCCAGGTCCATAAAGCCATTTTAGAAGCCCATGATAAAATGAGAGAAATCGAGTCCAGTCAAAGGAGAACAAGATAAGATCAGCTCAGTGGAGGTTGTAACCGTCTATAAATAGAAGGGATTAAGAGGGAAAAGTGGTTGGAAAAATCATTGAGAGTGTAAAGTTTCTCTCTCTACAATTGGGGAAAAATTCTTTGTACTTTCAGTATCAGATTCCTGTTTGGATCATAGTAGAATAGGACTTGCATGTGGGCCTGACCCACTCTCTTATTTTTCAGGTACTCATCAGTTCCAGGGTTAGAGCTTGATCGTGCAGAGCAGATACGGACTTCTATTCCTCCGACTACGTAGGACTACTATTTTATTTAGCTTTGGATTTGGATTATAGTTATTTCCTTTCCAGTTTGAGTTTTATTTTAGGGGTCCATTTGAGGGATTCCCGAGTTGTTAACTTAATGAAGTTATTTTGGAGCTTGGATTTTAATAATTATATTTTGAGGATTTTTAATTAGAATTCGTTTCTGCCATTTATTATTTATTTCTTATTATTTTAATTTGTATTATGTGTTTTTTAAATATTAATTGTTTGATATTTCCCTCAGGTTTGGGCCTGGGCCTGATCAACCTGTGTCTCGGATCCGAGGGGTATCACAGTGAGCAAATGTATTATGATAAGTGTAAGCTATGTGAGCTATTTTCAAGAGAGTCCAGCCACGAATTTCTAGAATTTCCCCTCAAACCAAGAACTTCACAGTTACTGAAAATAGGCCTATTGTAATAGGTTATTTTGCTGGTTTAAGGGCTGCAGGGTTGATTCCAAGTTGATTTATCTTATCCCAGCTTTAAACCAAGTGTGATTCATCATTTTAAAGCTATGAGAACCTTTAGCTGCTCAGAATATGAACAACACTAATGTTATGTGTAGTATTTGCTGAGAATTAGTTTTATAACCTTAATATTGGTGCTGTTCACTTAAACTAAGCTATACCTTGCTATGTTGAATGAGTTCATTGTGTGAGCAAGTGTATATGGCATATTAAAGACTAGGGGAACAGTGTTTGGGTGGTTCTAAAGGCTGAATTACAAAGCTGCCCTTGAAAGCTTGAAGACTAAGGTTTGGTAAGACTAAGGTTGCTTGTGAAGTGAAAGTGCTATATCGTGCTATCTGAATTGAGCTCATCAATTAAGAAAGTATATTTTGTTGATACAAGACTATGGGAGGAATTTACAGGGCTGAACTAAAGCTACATTGTGAAGAGACCATTCTACCCTTGAATTTGTGAAATAAGCCTTTTGTGAAGTGACATTGTGATACCTTGCTCTACTTACTGTGAATCTTGTTGAGCAAAGTTATATAAAGATATCAAGGCTGTGGGTGTCAAGTTCAGGTCAGTTCTGAAGCTGCAAAGTGAAGTTACTTCATTACCCTTGACTTTAGGGTTTTTACATTGTGGGAGCTGTTCTTCTTATACCTTGCTTATCTACTTGTGTAATCCATACAAGCAAGTGTATTTGACTGATTCAAGGCTATGGGAACCTAGTTTGATCATCAAGTGAAGCTGCATTGTGTTTTGACATTCTATCCACCTTGTTACAGAGAAGTGAAGCTAGGGTTTCTTACATTTGATACTTAAAGCTGTGTATTTATTCTTATCTTGTGTTGTAGCTTAAGTATTCTGTATTTGGTGTGCTAAAACCTTTATTCATTGTTGATTAAGCTATTGAGAGCTTTGTGTGTCCAACCACAGGGGCTGTGGACTGGGGGAGTGCCTGTGTGCATTGTTTGATCTTGTGTGTGTGTAGAGGCTGTGAAGGTTAGTGTCCTAATGAGTACAAGGTGATTGGAAAGTGGGGCAGCTGAGTGAGTAACTACTTGCATGCAGCCAGTGAAGATGGTGAGCTAGTGTGTGTGGATTGGTTATGAAAGCTAGTATCTATTCTTGTACAAGGGTATGTGCAATAAGTGAGATAGCTAAGTGTGTAACAAGGTTCATATTACCAATGGAGGCATTTATTGGCTGAGGCCAAGAACCAAGGTTTTTCCCTATTGATAGGGTTTCCTTGTATATCTTGTGTCTATGTGATTTGATTGTTTGCATTAGTTTTATCTTCTTGGTTATGCATGTTTGTATTCAAGTGAAAAAAAGAAGAAACTACCTTGGAACAATTTAACCCCCCCTTCTTGGTCCAATAATTGGTATCAAAGCCTTGGTCTGCTCAACCAAGGAATTAACAAGCCTGCAGTAAAGATTCTTGGAACATAATGGAAGGTCTATGCATTGACCAAGCACCATGTCTTGATAGTACAAACTTTGAAGATTGGAAAGTTAGAATAGAGGTTTATCTAATGTCACAATCATATGATGTATGGTATGCTGCAACTAAAGGATTATCTGTGTTTAATGAAGATGGTATGTCAAGTGATTCGAGGGGAAAACAAATTATACTCAGTGGTCTAATTCATCAGGATCTTGTGAAGGTCAAGGGCTGTCAATCATCCAAAGAAGTGTGGGACTTACTTGGGAGGGAATACACTTCTCAAGAAGGCTATGAAGCATCAGAGACATTCAATGATATTATCACTCAGGATACTAACTCTCTTGTTCAAAAAGAAGAAGCTGAAAATGACATTTGTGTTAAAGACCTCAAGTGTAAACTCTCACTTTTAGTTTCTTTTTCACTTATTTTTTATAACTTAGTGAAGCTTAGATCAAAGGACATCATTCTTAAAGAAAGTTTCACAGCACTATTGACAGATGAAAACATGGTTGAACATGGTTCTAGTGTTAAGGTTAATTGTATTGCTAAGGATTTCTACAAGAGGTCAATGCAGCAGAGTTTTAAGAAGATGATCCCCTTTGTAAAAATTCAAGGAAACTCTAGTGTGAGTTATCCAAAGAAAGCTTTAATATGTGGATGTAGTTTTAAAACTGGTGGATCATTGAAGCAGCAAACTAAAATACAAAGTGAGGATGTTCCCAAAAGGGAAAATGTTACACTTGAAGATATTGGTGACAAATTGTACTTCAATTGGCAGCTTTCAAGAAGTGTACCTCTTGGTTCACCTAAAGCTAAATCATTTGTTATAAGCCCCCTCTCATTTGCAGCCCACTATCTAATTGGTTTCAGATCTAGAGATTCTTTGAGAAGACTTGGAAAATGCAGGAAATTGCATCTGTGGTGTCCTATCTCTTATACATCTGAAGTAGGGCTAATGATTTCTCAAGATAGTTTGAAGAAAGTTCCTAATCTGACACAAGAAACTGGTTGTGTGCACATGAGTGGGGTTGCAAGATGTTCAAAACAGGCTCAGTTATTAGCTTTTAAAGATAATATTTTTGTTCACAAAGAGGTTCACTTTGGAAAAAGGAGAAGATCGCCAGATATTAAATTCATAAGGGATCACTATCTCTCTCCCACTAATCCTTCTAGCAAACCAAAGAAGGTATACTCAGTAAGAAAGTTTAAGCACTCAAGTTTCAGGATCAACACATTTCTCTCAATGTCAAAAGCTGGTTATTACATCAAAGCAAGTGGATTTCAAGCCTCAGAGATGATTGCTATCACAACTACAAGAATTTCAAGGAAAGGAAGTCTTGCAGAATTCTCAAAAGCTCATGATCTCAAAGCCTCCTTAAGTCTATCAAAGATGAAATCTAGAAACAAGGTGAATCCAAGGTCCCTTGAAGAAGAAATGGATGAAGAAGACAATCACTCTACAATACAATTCTCAAATGAATCCAAAATTTAGTGGGAAACTAAGGGTGCTGCAAACTATTTTGAATTAAATCACTCCTTAGTTCCTTTTACAATCAAGATTTCTGGTTCTTTACAAGCTTGTTCTCAGCATTATTGGATGAAGTTGAAAATTTCAAAAATAGAGTCTCAATCTCAAAGCTTATCAAGTTCACTTCTCCCTTCAAGACCTTCTCTACTAAGAGAGAAGAACCTAAAAACTAATTCTGAAGGCGTGTTGATCAACTTGGCAACTTATTCAATCCTTTGTGCTCCTTCAAAAGCTATTTTACAGCATGGTTTGATCAAGAAGACAATGTCAGACATAAGATCTCCAATTCATAGATCACCAAGTTTAATTAACACTTCAAAGCCTCCTCCTCTCAGAGACAAAGACCTGCAAATTCATATTGCAGGTGTGATAATCAATGCAGCAGTTAAATCAATTCATTGTATACCTTTAAAGAGCTTATTTAGCTGGGGTTGTAGAAATTCAGCACCTGTGTCATTTAAAGCTCTTAGATATTACACTATGTATTCACCAATCTTAAGGGTGGACAATCTCAGGCCTCCTCCACTCAGAGACAAAGATCTAAAAATTAATACAGCAGGTATGGTGTTCAATTTGGCAGCTCCTTGTTCAGAAATCTTCTTTATCTTACTTCAAAGTTTGTACCCCATCTCCTTTGATACTCTCATATTAAAAGTTGTCAGCCTTCAATCCTTTATTGTTATTCTTATTCACCTTTTGACTTCCAATGTCAAAAAGGGGGAGAATTAGACTAATTGGTTTTTAACATTTGAAAGTGCAAAAGGGGGAGATTGTTGATTCATGGTTGATCAAGCGTTTTACACTTTCAATGTGAAATGCTAAGTGTTACAGTTGAAGTTAAAAGTTGAACTTGTGACAAAAATATAGTATGCTTTTATTTTAAGTATTCAAACCCTAAGGCTGAAGCTATTTTGTGCTAAAGTTGTTTTGTGCTGAAGCTGTTTTGTGCAAAAGCTATTTTATGCTGAAGCTGTTTTATGCTGAAGCTATTTTGTGCTGAAGCTGTTTTGTGATGAAGCTGTTTTATGCTGAAGCTGTTTGTGCTGAAGCAAGGACCATGACTGAACTTTGTGATATACTCATGCTATTTTTTATTATGCAAAGCTGTTATTTAACAAGCTGCAGCAAATGATTACTATTATACTCATTGAAGGGCATTTATGTAATTTTGTCAAGGGTCTCGAGGGTACTCTAGTCAATCCACAGTGTTGAGACAATGAGAGATCCTCTACAGATGGTGCATTGTATGAAAAGGTCTGCAATTGTTTAATAATGCTCAGCATTTTCTGGTTTACAACAAGTGTCAGCTGAAAGGGTATTTGAGTGAGAGTTTGTGTATAAATGAGGTAAGCACATCTTGCTGCCACGTGGCATTATGGTCCTACAAAGAGAAATGTGTGTGTATGTTCATTGGCTGTAATGAGAAGGCCTTATCTACAATAGGGTTTCAATAAGGTCTCTATATAAAGGCTGTTATAGCCTTCTTGAAAGACAACCTCTTCATAAAAAGTTAAAAAGCTAAAAATGAGCTGAAAATGAAGAACACTCGAGAACCAAAATGAAACCATTCCACTGAGTGTTTAATCTGTCAAGAGAGCTGTGTTTAATAAGAATATAGCACTAACTGGTGTATACAATTTGGAGATGAAAAAGAGGGTTGTTAGCTACTGTTTTTCTAGTGTAAAGAGAGGCTAAGTTGGTTCAAAATTGCTGTGGTCTTTTTTTATACTTGAACAAGGTCTGAGCATACTTAACTTGATGATTTACAACTGCTGAAGGTGCTGAGGACTTCATATAGCAACTGGTACAATTTTCCATACCTCAGACCTCAAGTTTTATTTGAATTTCTGGCTTAAGCTTCATAAACTGAGCTTTATATGTCATTATCATGCTATACCTTGAATGTCCATCATTTGAGCATAACTGAATAGATGATTTGACGCTAAAAAAATTCAGATTTGGTCAAGAAAATGACCATCTTAGATTTTGGTTTGGTTGACCTCATAAATCAGGTTTTACTAGTGTTTAAAGCCTGCCGTGTGAACTGAAATTGAAATACATTGCTATGATTAATGTTTTATTCATTTGAGCATATTTATATAGTTGAAATACACTTGAGAGAGCCAAAATCCAGAAGTTGGTAGTGTTGAAATACCATATTTGCCCTCATAACATTGCTGCAGCAAAAACTGTTTTTTGAAGCCTTATTTGGACTAAAATTTGCTATTTACTTACTATAACTTGAGAAGCAGTGATGTGAGCAAATGTATTATGATAAGTGTAAGCTGTGATAGCTATTTTCAAGAGAGTCCAACCACGAATTTCCAGAATTGCCCCTCAAACCAAGAACTTCACAGTTACTGAAAATAGGCCTGCTGCAATAGGTTATTTTGCTGGTTTAAGAGCTGCAGGGTTGAGTCCTAGTTGATTTATCTTGTCCCAGCTTCCAACCAAGTATGATTTATAATTTTAAAGCTATGAGAACCTTTGGCTGCTGAGAATATGAACAAATACTAATGTTGTGTGTAGCATTTGTTGAGAATCAGTTTTATAACCTTAATATTGCTATTGTTCACTTAAACTGAGCTATACCTTGTTGTGTTGAATGAGTTTATTGTGTGAGGAAGTGTATATGACATATTGAAGACTGGGGGAGTAATGTTTGGGTGGTTCTAAAGGCTGAATTACAAAGCTGCCCTTGAAAGCTTGAATACTAAGGTTTGGTGAGACTAAGGCTGCTTATGAAGTAAAAGTGCTATATCATGCTATCTGAATTGAGCTCATCAATTAAGCAAGTATATTTTGTTGATACAAGACTGTGGGAGGCATTTACATGGCTGATCTGAAGCTACATTGTGAAGAGACCATTCTACCCTTGAATTTGTGAATTAAGCCTTTTGTGAAGTGACATTGTGATACCTTGCTCCAATCACTGTGAATCTTGTTGAGCAAAGTTATATGAAGATATAAAGGCTGTGGGTGTCAAGTGTAGGTCAGTTCTGAAGCTACAAAGTGAAGTTACTTCATTACTCTTGACTTTAGGGTTTTTGCCTTGTGGGAGCTGTTCTTGTTATACCTTGCTTATCTTCTTGCGGAATCCATACAAGCAAGTGTATTTGACTGATTCAAGCCTGTGGGAACCTAATTTGATCATCAAGTGAAGCTGCATTGTGTTTTGACAGTTCTATCCACCTTATTACAGAGAAGTGAAGCTAAGGTTTCTTACATTTGATACTTAGAGCTGTGTATTCATTCTTATCTTATGTTACAACTTAAGTATTCTGTATTTGGTGTGTTGACACCTTTATTCATTTTTGATTAAGCTATTGAGAGCTTTGTTGTACAAGCATAGGGGCTGTGGACTGGGGGAGTGCTTATTTGCATTGTTTGATCTTGTGTGTGTGTAGAGGCTGTGAAAGTCAATGTCCTAGTGAGTACAAGGTGGTTGGAAAGTGGGGTAGCTGAGTGAGTAACTACTTGCATGCAACAAGTGAAGATGGTGAGCTAGTGTGTGTGGATTGGTTATGAAAGCTAGTATCTATTCTTTTACAAGGGTATGTGCAATGAGTAAGATAACTGAGTGTGTAACAAGGTTCATACTACTAGTGGAGGCATTTATTGGCTGAGGCCAAGAACTAAGGTTTTTCCCTATTGATATGCTTCCTTGTATATCTTGTGTCCATGTGATTTGACTGTTTGCATTGGTTTTATCTTCTTGGTTATGTATGTTTGTATTCAAGTGAAAAAGAGAAGAAACTACCTTGGACCAATTCAACCCCCCCTTCTTGGTCCAACAGTTTTAATTGTGCATGCATGGTCGTAGGTCATTAAATCATACTCTTGTCCCATTAAATTTTCATCTTGAATCTGTTATTCGTAATCCTAGGGGAAGGGGTAATTCAAGCAACTCTATTTCATTAATGGATGTCCAAAATGTTGAAGACCTTGGTCACATTGACCAACAAGGCATTCTTCACCCTAATGTGCATCATCAATAAGATAACATTTAAGTCCCATTAGGCATGCCTAGATTGTTCATTCCACAACAACAACAAGGCCAAATTCCAATAGGAATGCCTAGGCCATTCTTTGCCCCACCTCTACCTCCCGTTGTTCAACCAAATTATAGGGCTTATGTAGAACCACCGGTTGTGAATCCTCCCCTCGCTTTGAGAGATCATTATATGCCAAATGAGTATAATGCACCAACATGCATTCAACTTCCTCCATTTAGAGCACACCATTATGAGATTAAACCAAAACAATTCAAATGTTTCCTAATTATCATGGGCTACCCAATGAAGAACCTTACAAGCATTTGGATGAGTTTCTTGAAGTGTGTTCCACTGCGAAATACACGAATATGCCAGAAGAAGTTTTAAGGTTAAAACTCTTCCCTTTCACCCTAAAGGACAAAGCAAAATACTGGTTTAACAATTTGAGGCCTTTTTCTATAACTACTTGGGTAGAGATACACTACAACAGTTTTGGTTTTTACCAGCGCTCAAAAGCGCTGGTAAAAGCCTTAAAAAGCTCTAGTAATTCAATTACCAACGCTTTACCAATTACCAGCGCTTTACTAGCGCTTCTTCAAAAGTGCTGGTCGGTAGGCCTTTACCAGCGCTATTAGAAAAGCGCTGGTAAAGAGCTTTTACCAGCGCTTTTTGGAAAAGCGCTGGTAAAGGGTTATTTGAAATTTTTTTTATGAAATTTTTTTTATATATATATATTTTTTTCCCCTTATGCCAGCGCTTTTTGGAAAAGCGCTAGTAAAGGGTTATTTGAATTTTTTTTTTTTTTTTTTTTTTTTTTTTTTTTTTTTTCTGAAGCTTTTTGAAAAAGCGCTGGTAAAAGGTTATTTGAATTTTTTTTTTTTTTATATATATTTTTTTCTTCCTATGCCAGCGCTTTTTGGAAAAGCGCTGGTAAAGGGTTATTTGATTTTTTTTTTTTTTTTTATATTTTTTTTTCCCTATGCCAGCGCTTCTTAAAAGAGCGTTGGTAAAATTATTTACATTTTTTTTTTTCCCATTATTGTTTTTGGAAAAAAATTTCTTCACAACTATTAAATGCATCCTAACACAAGTCAATATAAAAATACCATCCAAATTGTTTTTACAAACAACCACAAGTTAACCCTGCCAATATGAAAAATACCATCGAAATTGACTACTAATACCACCACAAGTTAAGCTAGTAAAAAATGTATACTAATACAACCACAAGTTAACCTGCTAATATGAAAATACCATCCAAATTGTCTAGATATGGGTACTAAATGTTACACAAAAAGAATTAAGAATTTTTAACAAATGTAGTACAAGTTTTTCAAAAAGAACCCATCCAAGACGAAGGAAATTCAAAAAGCACAGCCACGACCCCATCTTCAACTTCAACTTCAACAAGTCTTCTTGCCCATTTGATTTGAATTACCCTACATTTTTTATAAATTCATTAAACGCATATTATAATAATGAAAATTTAACATATATAAGAGAAATTAAAAGTTCATAACCTTAACTGAATTGGCATCACGACTAGAAAATGGATTTGGGGATACTCTAGGAGGAGCATTTAAAGAATCAGAATCCTTCAAAATAACAAAACAAAATACATGAAATCTTGGCATAAGTAAACATATATTTAGTAAAGAGTAAAACTAATAATAAATATACCTGTCTATTACAATTTTGTTGTTGCATCTGCATTAGCATAGCCACCTGTTGTTGTAAATTTTCCAACTTGTTGTCGTAGTTGGCTCGTAAATTTTCCAACTTATTGTCATAGTCGGCTTGCATTTTTAAAATCGTCTCCTGCAACTCTACACGTGTAGCACGTGCTTCCTCCTGAGATTTTTTAGCATTATTAATCAATTCAGCTTTACTAGGAGAGGGACCCAAACATCGTTTGGTGTAGGCCCGAAGCCAAGCATCCGCACACAACCAGTTCTCTCTTCTCCCCTCACAATGGAGAACAAATCATTGGAGCTGCCAATAGGTGAGTCAGAGTAACTTTTTTGAAGTTCTCTTATGTTTTCCTGCCAAAAAAAAAAAAAAAAGTTTGAACTACCATAACATACTACCATGAAACATCTAGAACTGAAACCCTAGATTCTAAATAAAGCACAAAAGAACTAAAATCCCAACAAGCTATGAACATGTAATGCTTAAATATACTTGTGCATGTATAATATATATATATATATATATATATATATATATATATATATATATATATATATATAAGCTTTCATGACAAAAACAAAAGGATTTAAATGAAGTAAATAGAGAAAAAAAAAAAAAAATCAAATTTTTATCAAATTAATAGTTCTTTTAATACATTGTGCTAAAGTATACACTTTATAAAAAATGTAATGGAGTCGTTATAGAAGAGGAAAAATCAAATTAGTAGTCTTTTGAGGTACCAGACATTGTGCTAAAGTATACAATATGATTAAAGAAATTGCCAACTTATGAGTACTGTTGTTTATGTCTAAATTTGAATGTCCCATCTAATTGAAGAATCTTATATAGGTAATTGGACAAAAGACTTGGTGTGCAATTATTATTATAGGACACATAATTCTATGTCTTTTATTTAATTAGATTCACTAGGCAAAAGTTTTTGTACCTAATATTATAATTCTATGTCTTTTATTTAATTAGATTCACTTATACGGATGCTATATATCCTTGCATTATATATATATACACACACGTAGGTGGTATTTGAGTGGCACCCAAAATAAAACTGAGCTAGATTTGTAATATTTTAGGAACTGGAATGTTTTTCCAGATTCCTTGGGCACATGGCTGCCAAACACATGAATGTAGCTTGGCATTGTTCAACATTGCCCTATTTTAGCATTCATATCTCTCTCTCTCTCTCTCTCTATATATATATATATATATATATATATATCTGTCTCTCTCTCTCTCTCTTACACACACCCCATCTTTAATCTGAAGGTAAAAGTAGATAGTAACCTGTACATGCATTCTTCAACTACGGCCACTTCAATTATTGTATGATATTTGCTCACTCATGATCAAAGCCTAATAATTTAACAGGTACTTTTGCTCATATGTAAATATATTGATAGCTCTCATACTTGAAGACCTTTCACTGTTAACAATATTATGGATTCCTATCATTTTGTTGTCGTTAAAGTGATATTTATGATCACATTAATATTGATATGGATGTACATTTGCTTGAACACCTTTCTCTACCTTCGTCAAAATAGACATATAAACTAACCTTACATAACATGTATATATACTATATGTGTATTGTGTGTGTGTGTGTGTGTGTGTGTGTGTTGGGGGGGGGGGATACCGACACAACTAATATCACTATATCATAACTTGAAATGAAAATAAGAACGTGTATATGAATACATAAATATGAATGAATTGTATGTGTTCATTGAACGTGATACACACGTAGTGTAGGGTGGGACCCATCACAACATGATGGATTCCACCCACTTTGTGTCAATCGGCCTCGACCAAATTCGTTCGGGAAAGGATTTTTCTGAATGAAAATATACCCCTCAATGTATTGATGTGAAATTGTATATGCATGGATGTCACACACATGCATGAATTAAACAAGAACCAGTAGAAAAGGTAGTGATGATGAACTGTTGAGACAGAGAAAAGTTAAGGATTGAGCAAAGAAATTGTATCACCACCACATGCAATGCATAAAGTGAAGTTCGCTAACATGTGGTATGCTCCAACCCTAACCAACCTATCTCAAACAACAAACAACAAACAAAAAATAGCAAATACTTCTTCTCCACAACACAAATCAATCAACAAGAAGCCTTCACATACAATGATACCATACTCCCATGCTTTTCAACAAATACAAAAAAGTAAATTGCCTCCACACGGGCCGATGATTTAAAAATTGGTCACTTCAAGGCACGTGACCCCCTAATACAACGTAAAGAGTTTAAAAATTGGTCACTTCAAGGCACATGACCCCCTTTTTGCAAAATGGAAGCGTGAAAACTTACAATCATATCTGAAGCAGCATCATCAGTAGCTTTGCCATCCTTATTTACATGTGTGCGGATAAATAAATCTGCAGGAGAAAGCTGAATACCTTCGTCTTCCTCAATCTATAAAAGAATACATTGTGATATATATTATTTACCACTAACATTTATAATCATTCAACGACACAAGAATTGAAATAATTTATATTTTCCATAAAAACTTCAACTAACCTGGGCAGAAACACGTGCAAAGCTTTTTGTCCCTGTAGTATGCATCATTGTCTGCTTCCCACGACGTTCTTTATTTTTTTTGCTAACCTAATACAAAAAGTGAGAAAAAGTAAAAGTTCTTTGAGTAAAGAACATTCCACCTAAAATAATGACTGAAAGCAAGTAAACTATAAATTCAACTCATTGACTTTAAAAAACGTTGTGATAAATGGAGGATTACCTTCGTCATAGGCGTACCCCAATGCCTAACCAAAAATTTCCAATGCTCCTTTTCAACATTAAGTGGTGGGTTTGCCAATCTTTCTTCATCTGTATCCCTAACTGAGTAGTATTCATTTTTCAACTCACACTTGTACCCCCTCCATTTTTTTCCGATGGAGGATATTGTCCACTGTTTTGTCATGATTCCCACATCATATTTTCCTTGAAAATGTGATAATTGTGGTATGTTAGTCCACTTTTTCCATAAAAATTATTTTAATGTTATTGAAGGGTTTTACCTTTACAATGTTCCACATATCCTCGTTCAACCGTTTAGGCATCTCCCACCAAGTTTTGTAGCACAAAGGAGCTAATTCACCCTTCCGGGCAAGTGTTCCCAGATAATTAGTATATGTACCACTCTCAGGACCGATCGGCTGTCCAAACTTATTAACCCTAAACAAAAATTAACAATTATAGATGTTTAGTACAAAAATAAAGATAGAAATCATTTTTTCTCCTTCATATTGAATATAGTCTAATTATGTAAACTATATAAGATGATCTATATATATATATGTACCTTAAAGGTAATAAGGTTTTCGCGTCTATGACATTCTTGCATCGTGTCGGACCCCGTCTCTTCTTCGGCAATGGTTGAAGTTGAAGCTTCGGTATTTTGTTCACTCACTTTTTCCACTTCACTAATCGTTCGTTTCATTGTCAACTTATTATTTATCCTTCCTAGAAAAGCAAACAAAAAAGTGAGAATTTAGTTAAGAGAATGCAATCAAATTGTTAAAAAAAGACAATAAAATTGTAATTCAACACAACATCTAAACATCAGCACGGGCAATTTAATAACTATCAACAAGTATCACCATGGTCTAAATTAATGCAGGTCTAACACTGAATGGAAATTGAAACATCAATAATACTGTATCAATAATATAGTTTCATAATCAATACACCTTAACTTTCAGGGAAAAAAAAAATACTGTATATTAACTTAATTAATATTGTGGAAAAGATCTATAATGAATGACTCATTCATGATCGATTCATACATACATATGTACATATGCATACATATATATATAAATATATATATATACACACATACTTTATTCCACCATAAATCTCCTACTCAAAACGGACAGGGTTCCTGCACTTTTTTAATATATTCTGAATCTGTAGTCTTCTGCTGTAAACATTCATGACATTTTTTTGTTGAACCAGTCTTACAAACCTGTCAAAATTGAATGGAAATCACTTGATTTATCACTGTTACGTGGTCACATCTCAATCTAATAAAGATGAGATTTGAAATTGAAATCTGAAAGTATCATATTAATTGCCCTTTATTATAAGAAAAGCAAATTGTTAAAAGAGAATTAAAGAAATCTGATAGGATCATATTAACTGCCCACAATCGCGCTTTTTATTAATCACAATTTTTATAATTTTACATTCATTTATAAGATGTTTCATGTCTCTATAAGAATTAAAAATATAAAATTTTAACACAACATTATCTTTTAACCTTTTCTTATCTTGCCAAAAAAACATATGGAAATATATTATTTTCTTTCTTTTTAAATTTGTCAAAACGAGTAACATTATGAGAAGTGATTATTTTATTTCTTTTTTAAAAATTATATTTTAACTATATATTCTCGTATGTTTATATTTTATTTTTTTGACAATCTAGAATGTTATTGATATAATGGATAAAATTGAGAAGATGAAAATAAAAGGAAGAAATAAGAAAAGATTAAAAGATAATTTTGTTTTAAAAATTAATATTTTTAATTTTCATAAAAGCTGAAAAGTGGCGAGCTACAACTAGCACTCCTTTAAAAGAAAACTACAATCTACATTAATATTCTCCGACAACAATTGGTAGATGGTGACAATTAGGCCCCCCACCCCTAATTGGTAGATGGTGACAATTAATTTAAAACCAATAAACAATTAAAATAAATCAATTAATGTAAAACAAATAATTCACACTTAATCAATTAAACAAACCAATTCACTATATAACAATTAAGAAAACAAAACACATAAGTCACATAATTAAAATAAAAAAAAATGCAATAAAAATCAAAATTAAATCCCCATTTTATCCTTTTGAAAACTAGGGGTATTACATTCTCCCCCCCTAACAAAAGGAATTTCGTTCTCGGAATTCACGAAATTCTGAATTAATAACTTTGCAAAATTCATTTCTGTTTTCGTGTGGCACAGCCCTTTATATGGAATCTTCCCATTCCCTAAATAGTCAACCATTTCGTAGATAACTACGCATGTCTAGGTTCCTTAGATTGGCTAAAGTTATGTATACTTACCAAATCCTACGACCACATATCCAAAATCTTAGCATAATTAACGTTATTTTGCCAAAACAGTAGTTGGTTGGTCACATGCTTGTATCCCCAACTAAATCGTAATCCCGATCCTGACTAAATTAACCAAAATGAAACACATACAGCACACACGCTAAAACACAATAAAAAGCAATAGAATCTTACATAAAGCACCGTTCCTCCTAGCAAAGAAATCTCCTTTAGAAATTAACTTTACTTGATTTGTTCATAATCTCTTTTTCAATTCCAGAGGTAATCATCCAACCTCGACACATAAGCTCCAATCATAACTCATAACATATCCATTTGCTTCAGTAAATTCCAAAGGCTTAACCTTCATCCTCCTTATATACGAAATGCAAACCATCTAATGTAGCTTTAAGAAACAACTTAGACTGTCACAACCTAATTCCCACACTTCCCGGAACGTGATATAAAATCATTGCCTCGATCTAAGAAGAACTCCATCCGATTCCTGAACCCCTGAAGAGTTCCTTTATCTACCTCCTTTAAAGGTAACCCAAAAGGTTAACTATCCACACCAACCCTATAAGTATCGTTCACTATTTTATTAGTGAACAACATCACCCTCGCGCGATCATTTATTGACAAGATTCAATACCCTCTTTCTGGGGTATGCTACAATTTTCTCCACTAGAATCCTCTTGGGACTCCTATTCCCCGTTTGTCTCCTTTATAAGAACAACTGCAATCGTGTTGGTCCCTTCATGCGGTGACCTCAAACACACTCCTAAATTCTTCCTTGGCCTATAACTCTAAAAGTAATGCCAACCGGAACTAAACCTTTGATCCCGAGTTCTGCTTCTGATAAAGAACTTGATAACATACTCCTTTACTCCTTTGGGTCTGAATCGCTGTTGCTGCGGACCCCATCCTCCTTCTAATGTCAACCATTCTATACTTATAGAATATAATTGACATCAGCTGCTCCTCCTAACGAACCGTAAAAGAGTACAATGAATCCTAACATAGCTCTAAGTTTTAAGAGACGCAACGCGGAAGACTTCTAACGAAAGACACTCCTAAGGACACTAGAACCTGGAGTGCTCTGATACCAACTGTGATACCCCTCGATTCTAGAACCACGGGTGATCAAGTCCGGGCACAGATCCGAAAGATACCAGACAATCAATATATAAACAAACAGGAATAAAACTGAATTAAGAATAAAATAATGATATGCTGAAAAGAATTCTAATTGTAAAACCTCCAAAAATAAAAATTTTAATATAAATTAACTTTCCAATCCGTACAACTCGGGAATCCAACTAGTGGACCCCTAATAATCTCAACTGATAAAACTTTACAGAATAAAAACCAAAACTAAAACCAGAAAGAAAAATCCTATTTAGTCGGAAGAGTGAGTGACTGTATCTGCATCACCACGATCAAACCCTAAGCCTGGTACTCACGAACACCTGAAAAATAAAGGTGGGTCAGGCCCACATGCAAGTTCCATCCTACTACAATCCGTACATAAACCCGATACGCAGATACATCCTAGATAGCTCGGCAATATCTACAATAGTCCATAGATATATAAATACACACTATAGGATGCTCACTAGCCTATAACATAGTTCAGCCTGGGTAGAAGGTGACATATAAAATACGTTTTTCAGCGGCCAAGTACCTAGACCTACCAGGGAACATTAGCTATATCTAGTTACTCAACCTTTGCAATATACGCACCCTAACGGTGATCAGGAGACTCAAACTCGTATCACGGTACCATAAATATATATATAAATTATTTCCTAATGCAGAAAAATAAAACAAACATCCGTTATGTCGTTCAACTGTTTTAGTTGACAGGACATGCATCCATGTAGGATTTAACTATTTTAGTTAATCCATTCCGTATGTATGAAAGGGGTAGGACTTAGCTTTTTGATCTAATCCATCCCTGATATGTCACCGTCCCATACCGGTACATATAATGCATATGATCCACACATGATGCACACTCAAAATGAACATCAAGTATATCCAGAACCAACATAATAGAAATTAGATATAGATAAGCTCCTATCATGCATCCAGTATATGATTATATTCATAGAACCTCCTTTTAAATTGTTAAAATAAGAATAAACAATTTAAACCATCCATTTCCATGTAATTGACAGAACAGAAATTAAGACAGTTCAGCAATTATCCTTCTTAACATAATATAATGAATATCAGAATTTTAAACTGCACATTATACTAGAATTCCAAAACAACACATCCATACTAGTTCGTTTAAAATGTTAAAATGATGACTAGCATTTAAATCCTCCCATATCCTTTACGGCATGCAAATTTATAATTAAATCTCATGGCATCTATGTAATTCCCCATTATAAATTTTGTGTCGGATATAATGACACTCCAAAGTTTAAGTACATCATATGAAACTTCAAAAAGTATTTTATATGAGTTCCATTTAATTTGCTAACACAAAACTAGCAACTAATCTTCCACTACTCCCGACAATATGCAGCTTATTAGATAAGGGTACATGACGTCATAACCAATATTCCTAGAACTGAACTATGCTAAATATATGCTTGATATAAATTCTAACAATAATTACAATGTCAGTCCAAATTAAGTTGTCAAAACAACTTAGCAAAACAAGCATTCCTCATTCCTTGACAGTAGACCTATTATAAGCTTATGCTTTATGACATGCATTTAGGTTTAGCACCTTAGCATAAACCAACTATTTGAAGGCTTTAACAAGTTAATTTTAATCATTTAAAACCCCCCATCACTTTCCAGTAACTACCTTTAAGCCCCTGAACTTCAGAAAAATTACAAAAAACACCCGTAGGGGTTTTTTTCCCATGGGAGCCGGCTCCCCTTTATTGGAGCCGGCTCCTAGGTTTCTAGAGCCGGCTCTCCCTCATGGAGAGCCGGCTCTCTCTTCATGGGAGCCGGCTCCCACCATTTAGGAGCCAGCTCTCACCCCTGAGAGCCCCTCTCTGCTTTACTGCTTCGTCTTTGCTTCCGGCAGAAGTTCCAACTGTCTGTCTTAAGTTTCTTAAGGATTTTTAAAGGTTCAATTTAAGCCCTAATACTCCTATAAACTCCCTTGATTCTACTGCCAATTGTTCTATAAAAATCCAAACAATTACAGGGCAGTTTATACAGAAACACCCACCGTTCCAATTTCAAAAACGCAGAACTAATTACAGAAATACTCTAACCTGCATACAATCCATTTTAAAAGTTTAATTAACTTCTTAACCATCCTAGAAACTCTTTACATTCCATTCCAAATTAATTTACAGAGGTTTAACTCCAGCTCACAACAGTTTACACATACGAAGCAACTTCAGTTACAGAACGTGAAACAGTTATACACAGATTACAATTTAGTTTGTCATGCATACACATCTGTTTTAAAGTTTACTTAACTTCTTAACCATCCTAGCAACTCCTCACATTCCATTATGAATTAATTTACAAGAGTTTAACACATAATCCTCACCGTTTATGCAAAGAAACAAGCTTCAGTTATTTCAAAGGTTCCTCAATTACAGTCCAGCAAACATGCATCAATTATTAGTTTTAAAACTTTAATAATCCCTTGGAGACTATTTAGAATGCACAAAACACAAGTTTACAGGAAGGAGATAGAATGAAACTTGCCTATGAGATTTTGAATTAAAACCTCTACGCCGTCTCTACGTTTCAGAATTTCTCAGATTTTTTTCCTCCTTTGATAAACCTTCTATTCCTCTGTTGCTTCTTGACTTACCCACAAGCAACTCCTCTGCTCGTCCTCTATCCTTCCTCCATTAGCCTCACAGATTCTCTTAAGAACCCTCTCTGTTTTCCTCTCAAAATACTATTCCGTGAATAGGGTTTTGTTTTTGTTTCTCCAACCCTAGCAGACCATACAGTTATATATATATAGGCTATTATTTAACCTATGTTTAATTCAATTAAATTTACAAGTCGGCTACACCATGAATAAATGAAACCCTAACTTAAATTAAAATAATCCTAAAATATAAACCATATAAGCCATAAACAAGACACGTTAGTTAAAACCAATTAAATTAAAATAAATAAATAATTAATTTAAAACACCAATTCAATTAAACAATTAATTTAAAACCAATAAACAATTAAAATAAATCAATTAATCTAAAACAAATAATTCACACTTAATCAATTAAACAAACCAATTCACTATATAACAATTAAGAAAACAAAACACATAAGTCACATAATTAAAATAAAAAAAAAATGCAATAAAAATCAAAATTAAATCCCCATTTTATCCTTTTGAAAACTAGGGGTATTACAAGGACCCTTCGTGAGATCTTTCTAACTCAAGCTCTAGTTAAATCGTCGGCCCGCGTGGAGGCTTGTTTTTCATTTCTTAGATAAAACGTGAGCCTGCGTGGAGGCAATTTACTTTTCTTTGCATGTTGTTTAAACATGGGAGCATGGGATCATTGAATGTGGAGATTTGTTGATTGAATTGTTACGGGGGCGAAGTGATTGTTACTTGCTTGTTATTTGCTATGCTAGTGTATGCATGGTCGTAGTTTTGAATCATACTCTTGTCCCTTCTAATTTGTATCTTGAATCGGTTGTTCGTAATCCTAGGGGGAGAGGTAGTTTTCATCACTCCATTTCACCAATGGAGGATTTGAATGACGACCATGTGGAGGACCTTAGTCACATAGACCAACAAGGCAACCTCCACCCTAATGTGCATCATGTGTTTGTTCTTATTTGGCTAGGTGAAATTGAGCAAGGAAGTTGAGCAAAGGAGAATTCAAAGCAAGGAGCTAAGCTAAGCACAAAAGGGGCTAAAATAAAATCTAAAAAGTGCAAAGCATAGCAAAGCTTGGAAGTTGAAAATGAATTGAAGTTGCTTAAGGACCCTTTGTGAGATCTTTCTAACTCAAGCTCTAGTTAAATCGTCGGCCCGCATAGAGGCTTGTTTTTCATTTCTTAGATAAAATGTGAGCCTACGTGGAGGCAATGGAGGATTTGAATGACGACCATGTGGAGGACCTTGGTCACATAGACCAACAAGGCAACCTCCACCCTAATGTGCATCATGAAAATGTTCAAATACCATTAGGCATGCCTAGACCATTCATTCACTCACAACAACAAGGCTAAGTTCAATTGGGAATGCCTTGGCCAATATTTGCTCCACAACCCCCCATAGTTCAAGCTAATCAAGGTGTTCGTATAGCACCACCAATTGTGAATCCTCCCATTGCATTAAGAGACCATTATGTGCCTAATGAATACAATGCACCTACTTGCATTCAATTGCCCCCATTTAGAGCACATCACTATGAAATTAAACCACAAACTATTCAAATGCTTCAAAACTATCATGGACTTCCTAGTGAAGAACCTTATAAGCATTTAGATGATTTTCTTGAAGCGTGTTCCACCGTGAAATACACAGACATGCCGGAGGAAGTTTTTAGACTTAAAATTTTTCCTTTCACCCTTAAAGACAAGGCAAAATATTGGTTCAACAATCTTAGGCCTTTTTTGATAACTTCTTGGGCAGAAATGCAACAAGAGTTCTTAAAAAAGTACTATCCGATTTCTAAGACCAATGCTATGAGAACTTTAATTAGAGAATTTTCTCAAGGGGATGGGGAAATGTTTCATAAGGCATGGGAAAGATTTAATGATTTGCTTAGAAAGTGCCCTCATCATGACATACCTAAGTGGCAACTAGTCCAATATTTCTTTAAAAGTTTACCGGATAGTCACAAGGGTATGGTTGGTGCATCCATGGGTGGTTCTTATCTTGATAAGCATGAAAATGATGTGTGGCAATTGTATGAAAGTATGAGTGAAAATTCCTTCTAAAAATGGTAGAAACCTAGGTGGAAGGAAGAATGTCGGCTTGTATCAAG